TGTCCCTTTCTCCTATCACTGCGCGCTATGGTACTAACCCTGCGACACTGCCGTCCCCTTCAACTTGGATCAGAGTTCACGTTGGTTCGTTTTGTCTGGTGGTGATAATATTACAATATCGTGGGACAGCACACATTAAGTAAACAACATTTAGGTTTTGGGGAGTTTTATTTTGGTTTCGTTTTGGTTTTGGTTTTGCAGCTTGCGAGATGAATAAACAGGCTTGTTATTGCAACAGACATAATCTTAATGTCTTTTTTAAAATTACAATCATTTGTTACAATACCGAAAATGTGCAGGCGCCAGGATTCGTTGTATCCAAGATAAAATGCAATATCCTCTCTACACATTTTCAGTTTCTCTTTCACCTGAGGGCACGTAAGGTCCAGAGGCAATCAAAGCAGCATCAAGACAAGATGTTATTTCCTTTAAAGCAGTGATAATAGCATATCAATTTGCTTGGGCCCTGCGGCTGCCATTGTACTCAACGTTGGGACTACAAAACACTTGCGCGTCAATCGGCACTTAACTTGGTGTCATTGCCCTCATGGCGCGTGCGCCTTCTATTAGCTTGCCAAAATCCCAAAGTCCCTTAAACGGTTTCCAGTTGATTTAGTGACAATAAACCACTTGATGCTTGAAATAGATCGTGAAAGCCGACTTCAGAGTCTAAGTGCTTACACCGCGTGACATTTAGCCGTATCATATTCGTTCGTCGCATGATTTGGCTCTTCGAACTACGAACTGTTTACTGTTGCTAAATCATACCCTAACTACTGTGTCGGTCTTTATTTTATAACAACGATGACAGACATCTAAACATTACAAAGACGTGCTAACTGCTTTCCGGCTGACTGAGTTCGATTCTTCTTCTTTAGTACCACGATCCACGTGTGTCTAACCGTCTCAGTTTATCTGCATTTGGAGTGCGTCTGAGGGCACGAGCATCTGTGTATACTAGCCTCCAAATATTTCATTTGATATTCACAGATATGTCTCTGGCTACATGTAATTCTATACACTCTTTCTGCTACTGTAAGGTTGAATGTTTGTATGAAATTCATTTCATCACTCAGCTGGTCTCTAAAATAGAGACATATTTACCTATATGAGACTAAATAACCATATTGCCTGACAAATCAGTTACAGAATAGCACCGCATGCCGGATTGATGCGTGGATCATTAATAATCAATTAAATGATCGATAATATTTGTAATGCCAACCACTACGGTAAGTGTAAAAACTACATAAACCCAGACAGGCCAGGTTTTGGACAACAGTGCCAGGAAACTGGCAGCGGAGGCGGTCAAAACCATTATTGGTCAATCAGCACAGTCGGGCACAAAGTTGATACCCGTCTTAACACACGTTGACCTAATATTCCTCGTCTGAACACACGTTGACCTCATATTCCTCGTCTGAACACACCACCTTGCATTCCTGGTCTGAACACACTTTGACCTTACATTCCTGGTCTGAACTCACCTTGATCTTAGCGCGCATTCAGAACATATGATCCCCGGACTAACTGATCCGCCGACTAAAAATGGCCGACTAAACGTAAAAGCTATTGTGACTAATTAAATAATGACTTAAAAGCAAGGCCCTTGCAGCGACGGCGCGTGTGGAGGCGGGGAGGCCATCATGGAATTAGTCGGCGCTGCTTTAAAGTCATATTAAGTACGCGGATCTGTTAGTCCGCGGATCAACTTGTTCTGAATTTTGTCTTACACTCCTGATCTGAACATACCTTGTCCTTTTATTTCTTGACTGAACTCGCACTCGCCTACTATCCCTGATCAAGGTCACCTTTGTCCTATCGTGTCTGAACACACAATGAATTGTCCTTCTATTTCTGGCTTAACAACCCTGTATTTCCCTTTCTTATGTCAGAGATTTGCGCCGGTAACAAGATTACACCACCTACCATTAACTGGGTTGTTTTCAGTACATCGAAATAGACCATAAAACAACAAATTTACGACTGAAAAATCTCATGAATCATTTACGGCCTAATATACAGGAAGATAAATAGGAATATGGCCTCCAAGATTGATCTATTCCAAGACCCATGGTTTGAGTGAGAACAAGAGTGCATTCAGAACTGCGGACTTACAGATCCGCGGATCAAGTATGGCCGACCCACTTGAATGTGTGTTGCGTAATCCCCAGGGGGCATCTGTTAAATTAAGTGTCTAATCGGGAATTAAGAGGCAAGCTTTTTAGTGGGTCGCCATATTTGATCCGCAGATCTGTTAGTCCGCTGTTGTGAATGCGCTGTAATTGTGGAATACGTACCTAATAGATGAGATTTATGAGGTCTTCCGCAAATATGGGGGTTTGGATTCTCGACGATGATTGAGAGATACAGGTGCTTGTGTTTTCACTCGGTCTGAAGCAGTCCTGTGTGAACAGACCTGCTGAGGGTCAGGTTGGGACCTGATTGACAGGCCCAGTGAGATGTCTATGTTTTGATATTGACAAGACATAGAAAGCCTCATATTCTCCATACCGAGTACCGCATTTCCTAGGGTGCGCTTACTAACAGAAGAGACAAGCTTTCGGGTGAACTGGTCTAGACTGACAGGACGCGGAGAGAAAGGACTTTTTACTAAATAAGATAAAAACACCGTGCCTTCCTTTGCCTCTTAACACCACATCCAGGGCATGACCTTAATCCTTCTGCTTAATCCACAATGTGGGCATGCATGCTGAAGATGACGCTGGGAGTATTTACTTAAGACTCCATTCCTAAAGATACTATAGGTCTACGCGAGTCGACCCAACTCTGCAGGGATTCTCGCTGAATTACGCAACTGATGCAACTATCGCATCAATTAACTTTTACGGAATACCGGACCCTTCGGATTACCAAAGAACTGACCCCACAGGAGGAGACGTGTAAATCTGCTAACCTGATTGCATTCAGCGAGAGTTCCAGCAGAGTTGGATCGATCGATCTGTACTACTTAAAACGGTACTTTCATTGGGAATGAGTACTAAGACGCTGATATATGCAGAGGTTATGAGTGCGTGGAGATGAACTCAGCGCCTTGGTGTCACTAAAAACGTTTAATCTGTAAACGCGATTTTACAACCGCAATGCGTACGTTTTCAGCGTTTAGCACCGAAATACCCCTCATTTATTTGAGAAAATATCTCATCTTCCAGATGTACAACATGAATGCATGTTTATGTCTAGTTCTTCCGTTTAGTAAAGCAGCAAAGTGAACAAAATTGTTCTCTACAGTTTTTAAACCATTTATGATTTACAACATTTAGCTACCACCATCATGCATCATAGTTTTCATGCATTCCTTCGTCCTTGACCCTTTTAAATTATAAACAGTACTGAACAGCTGACTTGCGGTGTTGCTGTTCACAGGGTCAAATAACTTAATTTCACACAGTCTCTGGTATAAAATAACCCTACTGCTTAATCTAAGACTTACCAGCATGTGTGCCAAGCTTAAGTGCTTTAACTTAAACAGACTGTGCTTGTGGCTCTGCAGTATGTGTGCGCCTTGTTTCTGCTGCTTTCAGTGTGTGAAGAACATCAACGATACAGCCCAACAATGCCAGCATACAGTGTGTTCAGAATGTGAGGGTACACGTGCCTTCACTTTCTAGGGGAGAGGAAGAGGGCAATAACCGCATTATTTCATATGCTGTGTACATGCGGGCCTATGAAGTTTTTATTGTTAAATATAGCTCAAAGGAAATGGCCAAACGACATATAATAGCAAAGATATGTGTCTTGCATCACTATGACAGTTTAAATGCCTGAAAACGCGTCTCAAAAGCACGTCTTGCTTTACATATTGCTGGCTTCACCATTCAGAGCGGCATGGCTGCGAGAGACAAAAGTGCATTAACACTTAACGCCCCCCTGAGTAATACCAGTTTGTAGGTTATTATTTGCAACTAGAGTCATTTAAACCGCCTTGCAAATATTACCTTCATACAGCGTAAGGAATAACTGCATGAAAGGTCATTTCTTTAATTATTTAACCCGGTTAAGAATTGCATTGACTGTCCAACAACTAAACCTTGATCTGAAGTGTCAATAAATCATGCAGTGAATGTTAGTTGTTGAACCTGGCTAACTTGACATTATTTCGACTCGGTATCCAGATTCTTTCCGGGACGTAAACAAGGCTGTTTATGTACACTGGCCCGTAAATAATAAAAGGAGCAATGCACTGTTGATAGTTCTCTGTTAATGTTGTTTTCCAAATGCAGGGAACTGCGTTTTAGAAAGCTACATGGATGATATACTGAGAAATGTGAATAGATTTTTTTCGTAAAAAAATAGAGAAAAAACAAACGCCCCAAAGAGAGATTTATTTAGAGGATTGTGATCTATGTGACGACGCTACTGACTTTGTCTTGGTGGCGCGAGGTAACAACTAAACAATTCCATGTTTTTCCATATGCTTTATTATCGCTTTCTAACTACGCTATCTACAGTTTGTTCCTCTCCGTTCAACCTCTTATATCGTTCTCCCCGTCTACATTACATTCTTCGTTTAAGTACAATAAGGTCGTGTCAATCAACTAAAGTAACACTACAAAACACTCCCCGCTCTTATTCGCTGCATGCTGTCACTTACTAACATTACATTTATTTGATGTAAAGAAATACAATGGGGTCTGCTACCCAGTCCTAATAGAACAAACCTTCTTGAGTTATGTTTTACACAATGTTTGTACCTGAGTGAACGTATTAATACAATCCCAGCACTACTCAAAGAGTATTTGTACCCTTCATCCAAGAAGCAATAGCGCTAATTACGCTACTAAAATATACGCAGTAGTATCCTCTGTCCTTGGACAGAATTAAATGCGCAAAGGACAAATTCGGTATAAATGAGTTTCCATCTCGTAGTCTCTTTCTTCAGTTTTAAAAAGTACTACGGAAATACAGTATGACAAGCCCATGTCCACCTACTAATTAAGATATATATGAGATTATATTATGACGTTTGATATTAAATACACCAAATAATTCAAATAAGGACTTATCCCCTCCTCTACACTGCCCAAAGGCGTCTAGAAGACCTTGACGTAGGAGTTTGAAAGAAGACCTGGACGTACCCACGTTTACACTGTGTCATATTGTGGTATACATGTACTGTTCGACCCAGGGACACAACCCAAGGCAATGCCGATGCTCCCCAGGTAGGGATGTCGTCTTGTTCATCAAGTAGACTCTGAAACAGGGAGATCTGGTTGTTGCTAAAATGACACTGTTTACATATGCATAAATTGACTCAATCCCTTGTAAACATGACCGACCAAGGAGTGAACGTGGATCGTTCCAGATTTTGCCCAGTGGAAACCCAGGTCCGCCTGTGCTGATAATCTTTTTAGTCCTTTATACCTTGCGAGCAGTGTACGTGGGTCGGTTGATATAGCAACGACGTAGGCAGCGTGTGAAACGGTCTCTCTGTACGTGTGCCTACGCCATGTGGCGAGAACATTTATATACCGGTCTACACACCACGCCAGACACTGACTGCAGACAGAGCACCTGACGTGCGATTGAATTGGAGGTAGGGGTAATAGTAACATCAATGGTTTTAGATACTGTTAATTCGATATGGTAAAGTTTGGGAGCTCTCCCGAAACTTTCATTATTAAATTGACGATATATATATAACTAAAATTGTGATGATTAGAGGTATAACTTTCTGTACAATAATTGAGTGTATTTTTACGAAGTTAATTCTCTTATTGTTATAAAATCGTAATGTAAATTTTAAAGGTTGTTTTATGAGATACATGCACGTATTTTGAATTGCTGTTAGAAATGAAAAGCTGATCTTTAATTTGAGATAAAGATACTCACATATCCATAATACACAACTTACACGTTATACATGTATTTCAGATCCTTGATACATATTTAAAACAAACAAAATGCATCTGACAACTACAATTGTCCTCGTCATCGTTGGTCTCGCCCTCACAGCTGGCGGGAGACTAGGCGGCAAGGGCCAAGGCGGCAAAGGAGGCGGAAAAGGAACCGGAGGCAAGGGTTCAGGAGGTAATTCCATTGAATTCGGTTTACGTCGTCCAACCCCATTGAGGCTTTATAATATGCTTCCTCAAGGCCTCCTTCATAGACCAAGTGCTTTCAGACGGATATTACAAATTGATATTTACTCCTATTTCACATATTCTTTACGGAGTATGAGAAAGAACATAGTGTTTTTGAAGATTGGCTAGTCATTGGGAATATCCTAATTCAATTGTAAGTTTTAGTGTACTATGTTCGATTTAAAAAGCAAAAGGGTGTACGTGCATGTAAGATTTTTTACTGCGACACTTATCTTATCATTACACTATTAATTAAACGAATAATTGGAGGAGATGTTGACCAAAAGCCTATTTGTTTTCAAGCATCCAAGCTTGGTGGGATTGACAAATCTCCACAGTTCAGCATTGGTGGCAACCTCACTCTCTCAAACGTTGACCTCATGCAAACCTTGGCGTCACGTGGTGTGTCATGGCTGACATTCCAGCTGCGCGAGATCCAATTCCTTCCCAAGGGCAAGGTCGGCAACTATTTCGCCTTCGGATACTACCGATACGCTGACCGTGGCGGGAAAGGAAGCAATCTGGCGTCCTCCGCGACTCTTCGCGCCGACGTGGGTCTCACGTTCCTCGATATTCTGACTCGAGACCAGCGCCAGATCCTCTGGGATGCCGTGGAAAGAGAAGCACCTATGGATGCTAACTACATGACCGCCAGAAACATCGCCATTGAAGAGCTGTACAAACTCAAACAGTCCAAGGACGCCAAGATTGACGAAAATTTGATCCTGAACCAAACTGCCACGGCCGGTTATTGGGAGGGTGAGTTGAATTTGCTAATTATGGTTTTCCTTATTATGGTTTTCATATTTACGCCACCAATGTAAACGCTATTGCACAAAAGTCGGTAATGGGTAATGATATTTCTACATCCTCATGCAAACGACCAATTCATCTTCGAATCAGAAAAAAATAGCAAAGTATCATATACAAAATCACTTGTGAGTAAAAATCACCGGTGAGCTGGAACACACATATCTCTGAGAAATTTGGTATACATGTGATACATACACTGTCTCTGAAACAGTACCAACTGACAATGGAAACAAGCTCCAAGCCTTACAATCCCTTCCAGGTAAACTCGGGTACGACCAGGCCGTAGCAATGGTTGCCGTGCTAAACAGCATGACTGATTCTCAGCGGGCTTTACTTCTCCCAGTCCGCACGGGCGAGTACGCATACAACGAGACCACGTCCAGCAACAGTCACGGCGACTTACTGGGTCCCCATAGCGGCGACGCATCTCACGCCGGCAATCTCCGTGACCTTAGCGCCAAAGCCATGACCTTTGCCACGTCGACCATGGAACAGGCGAGGTGGACCGAACTTGCCAGATATGCTAATTACTTCGGGTTTGCCACTTTCCGTTCCTACAGTAAGATCGACTCTGGGATCGGCCAGGCGGCGGGGCTGAGGTCGAACGCGTTCAAAAAGTTCCTGGAGATTTGCACTGAGGAACAGAAACGGGTATGTCAAATGGACATGCTTTAATAGATATTTAAAGATTTGTAAATTAAACCTCCTGCTTTTCATACTATTATATATTTAAAAATATTTGTTCGTAAGAATCTTTAATCTTTAACACACCCAGGGAAATCTACGTTTTAATATTTTTTAGACTTGTACATTAATTCTGTGGATGTTCCCCGATTCTTCTAAATCATTGTATATATGAACTAAAATTTTGAAAACAAAATGAAGATCGTTTAATATTCGGTCGTAAGATCCTTTCCACAGCAAAGAAAATCTACGTCTGTTAACAAATATACATCAACGCAAATTTGAAAATACGCAATAACAACTATACAGGTAAGGCACTCAAAACAACACGAAGAAGGTTACAAATGTATGAACAACCTTAATTTTCGATGGCAAACTTACTTTACAAAGCCACATAACAATACATCATCCACAAATCCACAATAACTGTGCTTTTAGCACCTCCCAAAATTCCATCCACATTCTCCAAACTCCTGTTCTCGCTATTCAGGTTATTTACAACGCCACCCTGGAGGAAACCAAGGACATGAAGGCCATCCTGGAGATCCACGACAAAATCCTGGCAGAGATCTGGAAGCTGAAGGACGGAGACAAGGCTAGGGAGGACAGGATTGTACAGTGGGCTGAAACACTCAGCCGTCACGAAGGTAAGGGACCATTCCCACAGATATTTGGATCGATCTATCTCCATGGAGAGTCTCACTAAAATGCTATCAACTTAACCGGTTTAATTGTGTGTCACGCCTAGTAAAGCTGTTAGGGGGTGTTTATCTTTACGTCCTAGCTGATTCGGTAAGCGTGACAGGCATTTAAGCCGGTTAAGTTGATCTAGGCATGGGAGCCCAGTCTAAGGATGTATGTGTTCGTGGCAGTGGTTCGATTCTTGTCTCAGATAAAGCAGTATAAGGGGTAAGGTGAGTTCACAATGAAACTGTAGTACTAAGTAGTTCTCTGCTGGGACTCTCACTGAATTCAGTTGGGTTAACAGATAAACGCGCCTTCTCTTGTTTTCAACTTACTCGTATAGTCACCAACGTTCTTCTACCCAACTGAACGCCAGGAGGCGTGTTAATATTTTGATCTGATTACGTCCAACGAAAGTCCCCGCGGAGTTAGTTCGAACTACCTAGTACGATAATTACATTGTGAACGCTCCCTGAGACCGCATTCACAAGGAACGTTATGGTTTTTAACAGCACCAGTTTGACTGGTTTTGACGTGTAATTGCGCTACGGGGTGTGGGGTGTGGGGTGGGTATGGGTGATACTTCATTTCGCAATGTACCACGTTCAATGTGAAAAGGGTCTCACCTCTCAAGCTGTGTTTTCGTATCCCCCTTTGGTTACTTCATATGAATGTTATTTTAACTACAAATGTGCACTTTTTATTTTGTTATCTCAGTATTATCATCACATTTTAATTAGTATATTGTATAATAATTTTGATACAAGTATTACATGCTTGAGGTTTGCTTTCTAAAAGGTTATCAGGTATCACTGTGTATGCCAAAGTCTATTTTCATTTATTTTCACGGTTGCGGCGCACCATTGTGGCTGCAGATGAAAATGACATTTCATGAACTGGTGAGCAGTGTTCAAAATATCAACTACCAAATCTGTCCTATCGACTTTGGACTGGCAGTCATTTACAAACTGTTTCTCTTTCAGGTGTGGTGGCACTTAGCCAGGCAAAGGCACTTAGCAAGGTGTACTGGGCCTTTGACGACGCCCAGAAGACCCAACTGGCTGCCTTAGCTCAGGTGAACTCTCGCCCAGTCATCGGCTAACACCGAGAAGATAGAAGTAGCCTCCGAGGTTGTGCCATATTTGTTTTGCTACTATTGGAAAAATACGCACTCATTACTGGATCTGATAACATTTGAAACGGCCACTCCATTTGATGGGACTTAAATTCGAATTCACTATTTGAAAAAATCAATTTGATGAATATAAGATAATAAAAATAATTTGCGTGACTAAATGACAAATTAGCATTATTGATGATTTTGTTCTAAAAAATATACAAAAGAAATGCACTCGATGGCGTAGCCAATGGCGCTAAGGCGTGGATACAGATATACAGAAGTAAAAAGTCAACTATGTTGTTATTCCTGTTTTTATTTGTTTTTTTTTTCTTTTTTTAACAATGAATTTAGCTATTTGACTGCACACTTGTCTAAACAATTGTAAAACTGAAACTAAAACAATTTAAACATATTCACTCAGTGGTGCAGTGAGATTTCGAAAAGTAATTTGTTCTTAAAGTAATGAAAACACCAGTAAAACTGACACTAAAACCAAACGAGGTACAAATGTCTCATATTGAAGTGAGTTTCTGAGGCGTATTTTGTTGTTTTTTTGTAAAAGTATGGGTATTTGTAAAAGTTAAAAAAAAACACCTTTTCGTCTGTCATAAACAACAAAATCAAGTTAGCATAATGTACTCGTACAATATTGTCAACAAATAAATAGGAATTGTAAAAATGATGACCCAAGTGTATGCACCTTTAAAATAGATGAGTTTATATGAGATGTCGTGGATATTTCAACATTATCAGTCTTTAAAAAACACAAAAGAACAGCATCGAAATATCAATGCTCTCTCGCAAGTTTTTATGTGGATGTGCAAACGATTGTCATAAAATAGTATGCATCGTTTCCATAAAGCATACTGCAGTTAACTGAAATGAGTTCGTCTGTTTGGTAAACTATTCTAAGATCTCACATTTTCTTTTTTTTTACAAACAGACTCGTGTTGCATTTGACTAGTCATAGTGTTTAATGGACAACTTATTTTCTAAAGTGAGTGTTTGTTTGCAATTAAAAAAGAAAATATAAGATCGCATAATACCGTTTTCAACAGCCTGCAATTTGACTACAATTTGAATATTTCTGTCACGCTCGCAACAACGCAAGGGGCGTGAAAGAGTCAACGTTCCTTGGTACGTGCTCCGTACAGTGAGGTGTTCTTTTAACACAAGCCCCTAGCGGGCAGTCAACAATTTGAAGAGGACCATTGGCCGTATCTAAGATCTTTTTTTCCGTTGGCGTTCAGAGAACTTTTTTCCTCGTATATCATCGCGTATTTATGCATACGAACTGGCTGTAAGTTAAACCAAACGGATATCTCACAGTATATGCATACTGCTACCGTTTCGAACTTAACAATTCCTCCTAATACTTGATACTGCTACACTGATGCAACTTGTTCTATCTCATGCAAGTCCACGTTTTCAGCCACTATGACGTTTCCATTCTGTTGATGTGGTGAAGGCTCGTCGTGTTTCTGGAAGCAAGGTAGATGCAGGAGACAGTGGAGAATTCCCCCAAAGATGATGGTAGCACCGGCACTGTAGAAAGATACGTCATAACTGCCGGACGTATCGTAGACAACACCTGTGGAAGACAGGAAAGCAATTCAAGGGGGATATATATGGAAGGGAAATCCCTGACTACACGGATTATATGATGATTTAAACCCGACTACGAACACTACTTGCGCCAACATAACATTATTTCAGTTATTATCCAAAATTGTTTCGTTGCAAGAATACAAAATATTCTTAGGAACTTTGGAATAGCTTTTAAGGTATCATAAACTTCGATAAATATGCATATAAATATAAATATTCGGGAAATATGCAGTTTTTAATTAGTTTGAATTAAGATACTGATTACTGTACCTTAGAAACAAGGTATTTGTGGAGAAGTAAAAGAACAAAGAATCATCCAATGTCCTGGTGTTACTGATTGAGAAAATTGAAATATCATCTAGAACAAAATGTTAAATTCTAAAAAAATATCTGTTTCGCTCACCTGCTAACGGCGGACCAATAGCAGAGGACACACCACGTGCCAGAGTTAACAAGCCGAAAGCGTTCGTAAGCTTCTCAAGTCCCAACAAATCACAGAGGATAATAGACGTCAGAGAAATGTAGGCCGCTGAAAGAAGAGATATCGTGATATGTCAAACAATATTTCGCTGAGATTGATCCGTTTAAATGTCAAGCATATTTTACATATGGTATTTGTCAAAACTGTAGTAAACTTAACGTTAAATTAAAGAAAAGCTGTCGTACAAATGTAACAAAAAAGTCCTATTGAAACAAAAAATGCTTTGCTTTTTTATAATATTATATGATCAGTTATGCAATAAAAGCTCTTTGAATGATAAACAGTAATTCTTTTTCTACTACAGCAGTATTTTTCGTCAAGATCAAACGTGCATCTATTGTAACATAGACTTGTCTTTAGTACGTACATTATTAAGACCAGAATGTAATGCGCTGGAAATAAAATGGTTGCTGCCTGTTGTCGTGAGACGACGCTAAAACCTCGTACACACACGATTTAGGCGACTCACAATTAAGGCCCATTCCCAATGAAACCATCGTTCTCCTCACGTGGAGTAGAATACAGAAAAGCTGGTGATCATACGTGTACTTTGGAAACAAGAGGATGCGTGTTAATCTCTCAATCGGATTGCATTCAGCGAAAACTTCCGCGGAGGTGAATAGATCTACGTAGAACGATCGTTTCATTGGAAATGGGCCCATAAAGAAGACAGCAGCGTGTCTACATAAATGAACTTACATATGCAGAGACCAAACAAGGCTGCATATGTGGCCAACATGGCGTACGTGGTGCACAAGGGACTCAACACAGTGACCAGTCCGCTAATGAGGAGGGCAATGTTGTTCAGAACCAGAGCGTCCACTTTTGGCAGGTCAGCAAGAAAGCCCGCCACCAGTCGCCCTATGGTGTTCGTTATTCCTAGAAAAATATGGAAATAATGTTAGCTTGTTGCATTTTCGGTTTAAGAATCTAATTCAAAATAAGTGCTATCGCTTTGTGGGAGTTTTAAAAATTGCTTTAAAACAAAGAAATGTATATGAATCTTGGAATTCTAAATGTTGATATGGTAAATAGCATAAAATTTTACACCTGACTGATCACGTGAAACATCTTAAGTTTACGAAAAAATATAACTTACAGTTTGAATTTAAAGTAAATGGCAAATTAAAGCATCGCCATTAATTCAATATAGTTGATAATTGCCTAAGGGTATATCACAAAACATTAAATCAGTTCAAGTAAAAGTATAGCCATGACGATGACAAGAATAATGTATTGATTTAGCAGATGACAACACATTACCTATCACTGATATAAGAAAGGTGGCGCTGCTAGCATCGACTCCCAGCAGCACAGCTCGGTTGGTCAGATATACAAACGGTACATAGAACCCGATCATAGCGAAGACATTACCTAGAAAATATTTGATGAAATTAATTTATTTAATATAAACTGTGAAAAATTAAATGAAAATAGCAGCACAGGGCCTTTCGGTACAACATAAAAAAGGCGTTTTGCTTGGTGCGATATTCAATTTTCATTATTCTCCTCTAAAAAGTATCAAAAACGTGTTATCATCTTATTTCATTTTAAAACCCGTATTCAATGGATGTTTGGTCTAGCTACCTTCATCAAAATCAATTTATAAAATATTTGCATCAATTGATTGAAAAATTACCTGAAAACAATAGCAAAAACGTCTTGTTCTTCATGAGGGAGAAATCCAACATCATTTTCAGCACATCCCGCGTAGATTTTGAAACACAACAACAACAATTCCGCCAGAACCATCCTTCCTCCTCCAATGGCAACCTTTCTGGTATCGCAGTAATACTGGTCACGTAAGTTTCCACGTCCGGCTGCGAGCGGTACTGCGGAATGTGACATACGCTTCCGCTGTAGAAAATGTCCTGTCGATACAACGGGCGGGCGTAGTCCTCTCGTGATACTGGCGCGGCGTCTTCTATGATTAAATCGCGAACCCTGTCACGAATGTGTTGGAGACTTTTAAAACTGCTGGCAATGCCAGTAGGAGACAATAAATGTTGAGACTGAAAAGGTTTTAGCCCCAGTTTCGGCGGGTGTTTGCTTTTTTGGAGACGTAAGCGGCGTTCTCTCTCCGTCATCAGGTCTTATATGAGAGGTAAAATCGTTAGCTTTTTGTCCAGGGATTGGAATAGGTGAAGACCGTTTAATAACCGTTTTCACCTCTTCACTTTCATCCTCCGAATCTACTTCCAGAGGGCTTGTAGTTCCTGAAGTTGGAGAATTCTCCAGCATCTGCCCTTCTATCACAGTCTTTGGGATGGACATATTCGGGGTGTTTGGGAAACTCTCCTCGTTTTGGCCGTCATGATACGAATCCGTCATCCGGGACATGTATGACGTACCCATGACGTCAGACACAGAGCCAATCTCTTCGCGGATTCGTTGCTGTCGCATTTCTTTAACTTCCTGAACTCGATTCATTATGACTGAAGTCGACATGTAAGTACTATTCTCGGATTCAGTTCGTTGTCGCGCGTGTTCTTTTATTCTATCAATCACATTCTTTGCTCTTGGCTTTCTATTTTTCTTCTTTTTCACAGGCTTTGCCTCCAACGGCCTCATGAGGGCGCCACAAACTGCGCCCTGCAAGACGATACCAGCAATTATGTAGATGGCGTTTTTCCAGTCATATGTTTCCAGTAGGTAGCCCACAAATGGCGCAAAGATAAAAGTGCCACAGCCAGAGCCACACACTGCAATACCAGTGGCCAAAGCACGCTTTTTCTCGAAGTAATAACCTACACTGACTATCGATGGCAAATACATCATGCCGAATCCAATGCCTAGAAAAGAAAAACATCTATCACTACTATTTTCGCTCTCTCATTCTTATTTCGGAACAATGCCTATAAAAGAAAAACATTTATCACTATGCTACCAATTTCTCTCTTTCTTTTAAGATTAAAATGTACAGAACATTTATTGACAACCCTATATCTTTTCTTCACTCACTTTCCCCGTATATATCAAAGTTACTCAACCTTTGAAGAACTACATTATTTAGGACTCAATGATACAGCTCATGCATGCGTAACTGTATGGAAACTGAAAAACGAAGAACTAATATTTAAAAAATATGAGAAACATTTGCTCAAACTACAAACTCCCTACCACCAAGTACTCCAAATGTTAAAATCAGCACATCGACGTTTGGTGAGAAGGTGCTGAGAACGAAGGCTAAGCTGGCAAATATG